ATCTTTCCAAAACATAACACTATTTCCATTTGCTGTCTCCCATCTAACATGATCTTCCATTTTTTTCCACATTGAACATATGTTTTTCCACAGCATAGAGTCACCAGCTTTTATACATAAATATCTCCACACCTTCTTTGTTATCAGCATATTTGGCTCTTAGTAATCTTGCCCACAACGTTTGAGGGTTAGAAAAAATATTCCATACCATTTTAGTCAAAAAAGCATCATTAAATAATGCTGTTTTTTTTAACTCCAAACCCCCATCAATCTTTGGTATGGTCAAAGTATTCTAGTTCATCATATTCATTTTTTCTCACCATCCTTTAAAATGACACACATTTTTCTCTTTAAATTACTTAATTATCTTTTATTTGAATCAATGCTATCTGAGTAGTAGTTATCTAATTAGAATTTTGCTTATCTTCTAATTGAATTAGTAGTAGACATATGTCCTAGTTTTCCGAGCTCTTTGAATTCCATATATGTAGCAAACGAGTGATTGAATGAAGCAAGCAATTATTTTAAAATTCTCTTCTTCCTCAATTCTTCTCTATCTCATCTCAATTCTCTATTTCTCCTCCAACACGTGCCAACACTGGTGCTTTCATTGATTTACTCACCCCCATAGCTGAGAACAATAGACTCAAATATCTACAAACCCAAACCAGTTTCACGTTGAACAAATCAAAGTTATTCAGAATGCACAAGTCCAACAGTCCCTCCAATTAGCAGATATAAACCAAAAACTAAAACGTCTAGTACTAGATTCCCAATCTACATCTCCACAACATAGTGTCATTGACCTAGCCCTCATCCAGTCCATATATAGTTATATACCTCTAACAATTCACGTCAATGTCAGCTTAAACTTTATTGGTGTAAATATATAGGCCGCGGTTGGTTTAGACATTAGCTTAAATAGATTAAACATATGTCAAATATTTTAGGCTTAGTCTATTAGTTTTGTATAGGTCTAAATTATAAATCTAGTCTAATATATATTAAAAAATAATAGGCTTAGTTTAGACCTTAGCTTGTTGAAACATATTAGGCATTTAATAATTAAAAAAAAATTAAAATAATATTATTTTATTATTCAAAATCATTAAAATAATAATTTTATTTAAAATAAATAATATATAAATCAGCTTGTAGGCTTCATATAAATTTAATTTCCAATATATATATATATGGAAGATTATTCTTATACCAGTGTAAGAATAAGTAATCCTACACCAAATTTTAACATTAATTTTCGTGTATTTAATGATTGTACTTTATTGTATCATATTAATTAATTAATTAATATGACCCAATAACTCTTAACCGTTAGATTCACATATTTATTATAAATAGGCCTCCTGAAAAATTTTATATTAAGAAAGATTTTGTTGGTTTTTTTTTTAACACATTTAAGAACCGTAAGTATTTTTTACAATACAATATTTAATCATTCACATATTTATTATAAAATTCTTACTTTACCATTAAACATGTGGATCAATTAATAAGAGTTTATTTTATTTTAGGGAATTATATTTCTTTTCCAAGTAGGAGAAGAGCTCCATTTTACGGAGAGACAAATGAGGTGGGGTCTGATAGCTTTTTAAAAAAGTGAAAAAATAAAATTTGTGACACAAAAATTTAATTGTCTGTCCCATGAGAAGACACTTCTCCTGTGGAAGGAGAAGTGTTTTTCCCTTTATTTTAATTAGTGGTTGCAAGTTCAAGTTTTACGTTCATATTTATATTAAACACTCAATAGGAAAAGTTTTTTCACAATTGTGTTCTTGCCCAACTTGTGCCGAATTAGTTGAGTAATTGATGACTAATTGAAAAAATCTAAATAAAAAAATCCTTAATATATTCTTTTGTCCAGTCTCAATTGCCTATTATGTTTATAGTTTAGTAATCTGTGTTCATCACTATTTCCCCCACTTACCAAAATTATCTTTCATCTATGTAAAATCTTAATGGCAGTCCGAGTCTTCACAAATGCCACCCTTGAAACAGTTTAGGAAAGAGTACAAAGACTGTTTATTCATTTTGTGTTTATAAAGTAACTACAATTTTAAAATCAATTCCACTCTACCTAATTTATTTCCTTCCCCTTTGCACTTTATTTGCCTTTCACTTTCTAGCCTTTTTAGTACACTAATCAAGCATTGCCGTGAAGTTTAATTCACTACTTTTATTATGACACTTTGTTTCAGCACATGCAACCTATAATGTGAATCGTAGACTTCAAGTCCTGGAAATAGCAAAAGTACAAATAAAGCGTGAGAAGTTGGCTTTGTCTTGCTGCCCCATCACAACTGCCAGGAAGCAACACCCATATTTTGATTCACATGAAGGAACTAATATGTGATCCAAAATGGCATTATCAATTAGCAATTAGTCATGATATCAGCAAAAAGAAAGAAAAAAAACAAACAGTAGAATGAGACAAGAACGTGATTGAAGCGCATAGCATAAAAGAAAATATCTTTGTTATTACCGTCTCTATAGCATTAACTTCAGCAAGTGATAATATATGTAAGCACCAAATAAGACAGAAACTGTTGGGCAGCGGCTAGGAGATTACTATCAATGTATCATGTATGTTTTCATTATCTTTTACTTTAATTATATTTTTAGGGATAAATTATTTTACCTATTTTTTTTTTGCTTACCCTTATCTAATATCATTATATTAGAATTTCAACTACATTTATCATTTCTCTTTCTTATTGAGAGTTTGATCTAATGATGTTAGAGAATGGTAGACAAAAATAGATAGAGAAAAAATATGTAAAATAACTTATCACATATTCTTAATACTATTATTGAAATGTTAACTTTTTGTGACGCAGAGAAAAAAAAAACACTTATAAGAATTTATTCAGGCCTCTTCCACTCAGAAATGGTGGACAAGTCTGTACTTGTTTACCCACTCCCAATCAAAATAGGAAGAGGTGCTGCCTAATGCAATTTTCATTATTTGATGAATATTTTGAAAAGCAGGAATTCAAAGATATTTGAGGGGGGAAATTTGTTAGAGGGATTCATGTTTAAAATCAGCGTGCTGAATTTGAGTGTACTGAACTAATAAAGCATTGAAATAGCTCATATTTTTAGAGTCATAATAGCAAAACTTTAAGTTAAAAATATATTTTATCTTGACTTGATTCACCATTTTTTCTTGGTAACGTGATTCACCTTAATATGAGCTGATTAACGGTGGGTCTTACTTATCTCGTTTTTTCTTGGCCCTTTGGGCCTTTCTGTCTCGACAAAAAAAATATCCCAGCAAGATCCAATCGAAATGAAGTTTGAATACGGTATCAACACTCATCCCCGCTTTTATCTTTGGCCAAAAAATAAAATAAAAAATAAACTTTTACATTATATTTAATATTTTTGTTTAAAATTTAAATTTTAGTAAAATAAAAAAAAATTAAATAACATACCAATTTTAATTATGTATTTTACAATAATTAATGTGCATAAAAAGTTTTTACAAGAAAGTTATATATTTTTCAATAATTTAACATTATAAGTTCATACACTAAAAAAATATATTGTAAAATAATAGAAAAATATTTTTTCATCTCAAAATAAATTAAAAAAATTACAGACTAAATGCATGTAATAAATTAGAGGAAAAATAATATTTAATAGATTTGCGTGTAAATGTTTAATTTGATTGAGAGTTGATTGCGAGGGAGCATGCTTCAAAAAAAAAAATTGTTTAAAAAAATGGATGTTAGATTAATAGAATTCAAAAAAAATTGAGGGGGCTCAGGAGATTTTAGAGGACATTCACACATGTTTATGATCTCCTATATGTTTATATTTTATAAAGCTCTAAGCCATTAATTTTTTGAGTAAATACCATTTTTGGTCATCAGCAAATTTCACGATACCCGCTTTAGTCCTTAGCAAATAAAAAGGCTCATTGTGGTCCCTAAGAAATTCAAAATGAACTTATTTAGTTGAAATCGTGGTTCCTCAAAAATTCAAAAAAGACCCATATTAGTTCATAAAGGGACTAAAATTGATCCATTTTGAATTTCTTAGGAACCACGATGGGTCTTTATATTTGCTAGGGACTAAAGCGGACATCATGAAATTTGTTGAGGACCAAAAAGAGTATTTACTCTAAATTTTTTTTATTAATGATTGTTAATATTGAACTTTACTTTCTAAAGGGTACCATTCACTATAAACGAACCAAATCACACAAGTATTTATGAAGTCTAACTTTTTTAATGTATCGTTTGTTTTTGTTTTTTTGGTAATCTTTTTAATGTACCGTTTTAACATATTATTAAATGATAGTATAAAATGTTAGTCTGACGTTTAAATTTAAATTCAAGCAACTAAGTATTGACTTCAACCATGGGCTGATTGACCATCTTGCACCAATTTTAATAAAATATTATCATTTTATTTCTCTTTTCAAACTATATACCAATTTGCCTTTCTTCTTAGACTATATATCAATCAACCATTGACCAAGTTTGACCCACACTTTTCCAATAAATGAGTCATTTACTTGAGTAAATAACGTATCAAGAACTAGGATTTGGTCAAACTTTGGTAAAACTGGAGCCAATTGTATATAGTTTAAGAGGAACATATTGATATGTAGTTTGAGAAAATGGACAAAATGATAAATTAAATTTTAAAAGAGGGGTAAAATAATCAATCAGCCTCAACCATGAGTGCATAGTGGGCTAAGGGCTTACTTTTACCATTTAATTTTTTGGGGTGGATTAGTTTCCTTTTACTTTGTAGTTGAAATCAAAAAATGAAATCAGTTCAAGCCCAATGAAGCCTGACAGAATTCAAGGAGCATAAGGAAAACTGTTGGATATTTCAGTCCAGAAAACAGTGATGAAAAGAGAAAATTTGTGTCTTGATAATTCAAAAAAAATAAATTCAACCTCACCAATTTCGTGTTGTAAAGGAAAATTACTGAAGATCATACTTGTTCAAATACATCTGGTGCTGTACAAGATAAATAACCCGTGGAAGGTTCCGTTTATACCAACATGTATGCAACTAGTAACAAAATGCATGTAATTGAATGGAAGGGAATAGGAAAATAATTAAACCAAGACTATTATATAGGGGTAAAAAGTGTAGCTAAACCTTGATCCACTGTTATCTGCAATTTACCATAGGCCATCAAAGCCTTCTGCTCACACTTGTAAGTTCCTTTCCCCCTTGCCAGAACCTCACCATCTGAATCTATGATCCCTTCCTTCTCCGGGTCCTTGGTGCGCGGACCAGGTTCCAAGCTGAAAGCTTTCACCTGTAATTTGTTGCAAGATAGATAAATTAGCAAATTTTGTTATGCAAATAAACCAATGTTTCAAAGTAAATGCTACAAAGGGTACAAGGAAACATATTGACGATCACACCTTTAGGTATGTGACATAAGGAGATTTCACATGTCCTCCATTATTCAACGTTGACATAATTGACAGCAATGCTAACTTTGGGCAACTCTTCATAATGATTAAGTCCAGATAACCATCAGAGAACTGCATTTACCGAATTATAATAACAAAAGAGCTGTCAGGCTCAGCCCCATAAACAACAACTATCGATGGTAAGTAACGATGCTTGACAATTAACATATATATATATATATATATATATATATATATATGGCAGTTTTCTTTGACACCGGTATTAAACTTTGACACTAAATCTTAACAGTTAATTTTCGCCAATCAACGATTATCATTTATTGGGAATCAAACTTATTAATTAACTATTAATTCCCAATAAATGATAACCGTTGATTGACGGAAATCAACGGTTAAGATTTGAGGTCAAATTTCAAAATTTGACACCTATGTCAAAGTATCCTGCCCCATATATATATTTCTGCTTTTGCTGCAGAAAATATTTCTCAGCCGCACTTACATAAAAGTGAGTGAGTCCTACTAATAATTTTCTCTTTATATAACGATGATGGAGAAATTTATGGAAGTGAATATTTAGATAAATGTTACTATTTACTAACAGCCTTCGGCTGAATTTTCTTAGGCGTGCAAAATCCTGGCAACAATTAGAAGAGTTCAGAAATTTATTCTTTATTGTGCATATTTTAGTTTTCAATTACAATATCCATCGTTGTTATGTCATGCTCATTCCAATTCTTAAAAAAATAATTTTTAATATTAAGAGTGATTAAAATCAAGCAATAAGATGCAAATAATCATTCCTCATTATTTGTGTAATAGCTTCCATTGGGCGCATTTGGAATCAGATTGATAGAGAATTTATCGTACTGATGGTGCCATCACTGCCAATCATTGAAGTAATTGGAAACATTTCCCAGTATAACATTAAGGAAACAGAGTGTGAGAGAGTAAAATGATATGCTTAAATTCTTAATCACACATAACTGACCTTTGCATCAGGTGCTGGCATAGTGTCTTCGGCACCCCAAGGTACATTGTGAAGCCAGATAGAAATAAAGGGTCCATTTATAACTCTCCAATTCAGATTTTCCAAGTTTATTTCAGGTCCTTTATAACAAAGCTTTTGTAAATTAACACTTTCTCCTTCACTTGGATCAGTGTTGTTGCCTTTGCTAGAAGATTTGCCAGGATAACTAGTGGGTTCCCCGTAAGCCTCAAACCCAGGTGCAGGCACAAAAGAAACACATCCAATGTATTGCCTCAAATTGAAGAATCGACAAAGAGCCTAAAGCAGGAAAGCAGCGAATAAAGAAAACAATAATGAGTAATTTCAATCACTTATCTGTTGAACTAATTGCAGTACAAGTTTAATAATGCAATTCAAAACTGCATCACAGGCAAAGTTAGAAAAGCATAGTTATGATACATCTAATACTCAAGTTCCCCACTAAAGGGTCATTTATATTACAATAACAAATATGTTGGGTATGGCTCATATTTTGCATGCTGATGAGGACTCTAATTGTCGGGGTCAGCAGAAAGGCAACTGGGGTCCCGCTCTCAGATGAGCGGGCGGGGGTCCGAGAGGCAGCGCCCCCAGGCCCGTAGAGGCTAGGTACTATTGTAGGCCTCTGATTTATTATAATTTTCTTAATAGTTTGGACTTGGACCCATGAATAGCTGTTGTTAGGGTTTTCTAATCCTATTTATATTTTCCTTGTAAACCGAGTGACTTGTAACGAGTGGCGGTGAGGTGAATATAGTACAGATAAGCTGGACGTAGCCTAAATTGGGTGAACCAGGGTAAATATCTGTGTCTATTCTCTTTCTCTTTCTCTTTTCGTTTTCGATTTGTGTGATTGTCGATTTCCAACAAAATAGAGGTCAGAATCACCCTTCAAAACAGAACTAAACAAAACGAGGGCTTTAACTATATAAGTCAGAAATCTTCTCCTAAAAACTACGTGTTTTACAACAAAGCCATGATGTATTTCTCTTTTTTTTTTTATATTTTGGATCTGTTCATCAGAGACGTATACAAAAAACAATGGTTACCCTAAAAACATCTAACTAAATAGATGGAAACTGCAGGACACTGAAATGAAAAAAAAATTATAGAGAGAGGGAGTGCTAAAAGAATATATCGTTGGACTATATTAGAACTTTCATCGAGTGTATGTTGCTACTAGTTATATCTGATTCAAATGCTAGAAATCAAAAGCGTATTTTCTAAACTACATACTTTAAGGCCGTCTACACAAAGTCATAAACAACTTCGATTGTAGTATACCCAAAACTAAAGCGGATGACTAGCAATTTGATGATTTATTGTTATTTCCTTTATGTTCCTTCCTTCAATCAAAGTGTTAGAAGAAAATCGTAACAATAATCCATATAAGAGAAACACATTCAGTGAAAGAAAAATCATAAATAAACATGTTGGGACTCATGAGAATTATAAAGTGGCTTACTAACATAAAAATCTAGACGAGCACTTCCCATCCACCGATACTTTTCAGACTCAATGTCAATATCTGCCACCAGACCTGAAATAGAAAATATCTTCAATGGATATCATATTATCATGAATATGTCAGACTAAATGTCATGGTACCATATGCAGACACTAGACAAAGAAAAGAGAGAAAGAATGAGAAAATAATATCCTAGATGTTTTAGCATATCTGCCACCACCTAATTGGCATAATCCAATAAATAGCAAGAGTAATTACCCCATGCGAGCATCAATATACTGAAAAATCTGGTTTCCCCCTGTTTGATGGTAGCCACATCAAGTGATCGCTTATGGCCTGTCAGTATTTAATAAACAGTTTATACCTTATAGCAGCATGGAAAAAAAATTAGCCAGGATTTGACATGTTAGAATGACATAAATGGATGGAAACCTCGTATAATGGCATGAACGGCATTAGCTACTGCACAAAGATCACCAACTGAATCAAGAAGAGATTTTGCCATGCCATTTCCCGTACCTTCAAAGCATGGAAGAACTTATCAGCTTGACATAACTAAATTTGTATGTTACCCACACACTCATTATCTGCGGATAACAAAGGATAAACCATGTAAACAAAATCCAGCAAATAATGCTAGGCCCATCTCACCATTCCCGAAAAACCATCATTAGACATTAGCTTCATGACCCACCCTTGCCCGGTAAACAATTTAAAGTAATAAAGTTTAATGAGATAAAACCATAATAAAAACAAGTAATAAACCTGCGGGAACTACCCCAAGGGGCATCTTTATTGCCATAGCCCAATCCTCTCTTTGAAGAAGTCCATTTACAACCTACTAAAATGTGTGATGCTTGTAAGATGAGGAAAAACAATAAATAAACAGAGACAACGATGTCAAAAGTGAGCCAGTGCAAAAGTAATCTAGAATACAGCGGTTATATTGCAAAACTTATAAGAGACTGACATTGCTATTTGACTGCCCACACATGTTATAACTTCCATTCAGACCTTCAGGGCTTCGGTGGTAGCCCACGACCTCATCTCCAAAGACCATTAAGTTTCTAAGAAAAGAACTGAATTGAGGTATTGAATAAATATTTTTCAATTAATCTGTAAAGCACCAATTCAACCCAAAAGCTTAAACTGATGGGTTTTTTATTATTCTCTAACACACCCCCTCACGCAAGAGCCCTTTGGGCTTGAAGGGTGGATTATTGCATAGGCCCAATTTTTGGTTTACCTTATGCTTATTTAATTCCACAAGTGGAGGGCGATGAGGATCGAACTCGTGACCTTGTGGTCACTGAATCTCTAATACAATGTAAAGAACCAATTCAACCCAAAAGCTTAAGCTGATAGGTGAGGTTTTATATATCTCAACATAATCCATGAGCATGATCCAATAAACCAGTACTACATTAGCATATCTTGGAAGGACACCTTAAAGGTGTTGAGATATTCAAATGTGAGACTCATCACCACCACCACCACAATGGGCGGCTCTGATATTAGAGTCAGGCGCATGGGTCCATTCAAGTGTGAAACCCAATATTTGTATGCTCCCCCTCAATCGAGTACTCAGGCTCAAAGTGCTCAACCCACCCACCTCCTAACAATAGGGCTCTAATACCACTGTCAGGTGGATCCAGGGGAAGCCCCACCATCAACGGGCTAAGCTAGACCACTATATCAAGTGGATCCGACATCACGTCTCAACACAAAACCTTAAGACATTGGATTCATGGTCCTCCCACTTATATACACTTGACTTAGCCCATTACCAATCAATGTGGCACTCATCACACTTGGATAACCCAACGAAAGGTGTACAATTAGTAAACTCGAATCTTGTTAATTCATACATATAAGGGCACCTCAACCCCGTTCTTTCTTTCTCTCTTTTCTAACAAGACTAGAAAAAACCATCTGCGAAATGCAAATAGCAAGTATAGGATGGAACAGAGAATTAATTATTTCTCAGCGCAACAAAATATTTTGCATTATAAACATGAAGGCCGAAGGGTATTAAAAAAAGTGTAATGTGATCATTATTATTTGTTAAGAGGCATCGACATGATGATGAAGGCACTTACAGCAACAATTGTAATGGCAACGAAACTAACCTCAACCAAAATTCCATCTCCACTAACACAAACAATCCCATCGTATTTTGTAATATCTATCGAATAAGCAATTTCCTTGGCATGGAGCTGGTGTTTGGTTTCTAAGGAAATATAAAACAATACAAACCGAATCAACAAACGAAACGAAAAAGAGAAATAGCAATAACAACAACAACAACAATAATAATAAAACATGGTTGAAGAATGAGAGCACCTTGAACAGTAAGTTCGATTTGAGCATCCTCAAGAAGATGTTTGATTTGTTCAAAGAAAATCTTTTTAGCAGATTTCTTCCCACCAAATGGGTTAACAAACACAAATAACCTCTTAGGTCGACCTGCATTTTCATAATTCAGAGTTCACAATCACAACCATAACCTTAAAAGTTAACCTTAAGCAGACAAAAATGCTACGTTAAGTTTACCGAGAGAATCGATGAATTCACGAAGCTTTTGGCACCAGAGCTCGCGGGTTTCCTCGGAGGATGGCTTGAATACGACGTCGTTTCTGACGAGCCTACCTGGGGCACCGTTAGTGCAGCACCCATCTCGGGTCTCAACAAGGGTCTTGATCTTGATGTGAGGGCCATTCGAGACGAACCCGATAACATCCTTCTCGATGGACACACACCGGTAGGTTCCCTCCGACCACCATAGCCTGCCGTCGGCGAGCAGAGCAAGCGGCGTCACGCTACCGTTCACGGTGACCCGGTCCGAAATTAAGGGACGTTGGTGATCGGATAGGTCCATCTACAGCAAGGACCGGTTCGATGAGAAAACCGCCTGATAATAAAGTTAAAATAAAAAACCGGGTTTCGACGTTTGAGGATGAAATAAAGAATGTGAAGAATCCTATATGTGATGATGACTAGGATTAATAACTAAACTTGGAATGTTAGCTAATGTTAGTGTTTGTCTGGTTGCCTTGAGTTTGACACCAATCAGATTAGTACAAGGACATCACTAATTTATACTTCTCCTTTCACTTGAAAAATTTATCCTTAAGTTACTTTCATTTCAAATTTTAAGTTTTTTATCTTTTAAATGTGAGTGTCATTATAATTATTATCTTTATAGAAAATTAGACTCTTCTCCTGTAAAATGACAACTACATTGCCCATTTATTTATGCCTATATACAATTAACAGATTTATGTACTAAAAAAAATGTTTAAAGAATTTGATTTTTATAAAATTTACATTTTCAAAGAGGTCAAACGCCATCTCATTATATCATTTTCAGTACTAAAAAATTTCGTTTTTATCAGTGAATTAAATTTTCAAATATAGATTATTAGAAGACTTTTTCTTAATTTTTTTAGACTAATCTCTTGGTGTCGATATGATATTAATTATAAACTATAGAAGAATATGATGCTACTTGATATACTATAAAAGCTAATAAAGTCATATAATGATTTTTTTAAAATTGCTAGTTTATTGCTCAAATGTTAAACTTCAATACCTTCAAATAATACATATAGTTAATTGGCAGATTAAAACCATATAACATAATTTGTCACATATTAAACATTTATGCGTCATAATTAACAAAACTTAATTTATTTGCCTAAAGATTAGAGTAATTTGGCAATTTTTAACAACTCATTAAAATAAGGGAAAAGAATTTCTCCAGATATAAAATTATCTCCGGTGAATTCAAAATGATGTCATTTTATGATGATAAGATTAATAAATTATAATGATAAAGACTAATATAATCCTGCAATATATTAAAATTATAAAATCACCTTAATTTTTGTTTCAAAACGACGTCATTTTATACTCACCGAAGATAACTTATCTCCGATCGGAGAAATCCTTTACTCTTAAAATTTTTCTGGTTTGTTGAATCATTTAAAAGGAATAATGTGGCTTTACCCAAAAAAAAGAAAAAAAAGAAGAAGAAGGAATAGTGTGGGCTTTAACGCTCCGTGTGTGGCAAAACTTGAAATGGGGTTCTGGTGAAAGCTTGCTTGGTTTAGTGTATGAGTTGGTGGGGTTCCTCTCACATGTCCATCAAATTTTGCCCCCAAAACAACCCACCCATTTGTATTATGGATTCTGGCCCAAGTGTGATTGATTGGCAAGTTCTATAGCGACCTGATCAAGAATCACTTCCTTAGTGAACTGATACAAAAAAATTAACAAAAGGAAAATTGTTTTAGCTTTCCTCTAACCTAGGAGAATATAATTCCTTCAAATCAGTGGAAAAATGGTTCAAAAACAGCACAAGTTTACTCCACTTAAATTCATAACCCCTAGAGTTGAATTCGACAATTAACTATGTGAAAATAAAAGAGATAGAGTTATATACCTTTTAACTTTTCCTTAGTGACCAGCTTAAGATTCCCTCAAGTTTAGTTGATTTACATGGTCAACGATTTTATTAGGAAAAAAACTCGATTGCCTTAGGAAGAACTAGTATAGATTGTTGAATAAATGGGAGTTCAAAAACTAGATGAATAAGTAACCTCTTGATCTTGTCGACCTGAGATTGGAAATTTTACAGTAAGGCTGCCAAACTAGCAACTCAGGTTCCCATATTTATGTATAAAAAAAAAATAAAAAAATTCCCATATTTATTTGGTTAATAATTCAAATATAGTTTGTTCCGTCCTAAAGAATACTTTAAAGATAGATATTCAGATCGGCTTATAGCCAATACTTCAATCACTGTGCACAAACAAAGGCTTATAGCCAAGACGTGGGTGTGTGCACAGTGTTGACAACAATAGTAAATAGGTCAAAAAGTGTATATCTGTGAGTTTTAAGCCTTGTATTTATAGGAATTACCTCTTGGGCAGTGTAAATCTCCTAGTTGGAGTAGGATTCAATTCCTTTTCTATAAGGATATGGATTATATCCTCAATATTTCTGTTGCTTCACGCTATTAAGATAATTGGGTAATTATCATTAAAGTGATTCTTGGTAGATAGTTAGAATATAGATATATTTCATAACATAGTTATATATAGTAGTAAATAAAAAAAATAAGGAGGAAATAAATGAAACAAGAACAAGTTTACCAACGAAGACGAACATGTTGATTCGAGAGTTTCTAATTCGAATTCAATAAAAGAACTATAGGGAAGTGTTTGTAATCAAGATATATCGTATAGTCAGAGAGAGAAACAAGAAAATTAAATCTTCAGCAACGTATTATATTGGAGTATGCACAATAAACATTTTGTTCCTTAGCATTATTTTTGAGTAAAATAGTTTTTTTTTTTTTTTATTCTGTATCTTGAAAGAGTTCTGAGAATAAAAATTGCGTTTAATAATACAATACAAATTTATTTCTTTACTTTTTGTTTACAGATTTCATTAAGTGTATAAAATAAAAAATTGTAATAGATTTTAACCAAAATGCCAACATTTCAATTTTAAAAAAAATTATCTAAAAATTATAGTATTTTGTTGTGTAATTTATTTTACAACAAATGCTAAATATACTTCATCTATCATTTAATTAAAGATGCAATTAAGTTCAGATGCATTCAATGGCTTTTTCACCCTTTTGCCCCTTATTAATTAATTAATAACTATTTTGCCTCTGATTCGAAACTATCTACCAATCTGCCCCTCTTTAATCGACTACCTTGCATTTTTAATCGACTAAACGGTTGTTGGGAGATTTAATCGACTAAATCTCTCTACTTAATCGATTAAAATCATACTAACTTATTTTTTTTTTTGTAAAATATGAAGATTTAGTCGACTAAATAGGGAGATTTAGTCGACTAAATCTCCCAGCAGCCATTTTTTGTCTGTTTTGGCCATTTAGTCGATTAAAAATGCAAGGTAGTCGACTAAAGAGGGGCAGATTGATAGATAGTTTCGAATCAGGGGCAAAATAGTTATTAATTAATTAATAAGGGGTAAAAAGGTGAAAAAGCTTGCATTCAATAGCTCATCTCAAGAAAATAGTGCACTACCTATGGTTGTTAAAATCGAGATTTTAAGTAAAATTAGAAGGGGGTTACAAAATCGTAAAACATAAAATCGTAACATAAAAAAAATCGTAAAACGTAAAAACGTTTGAAATATTGATAAAATCATTCCGATGAAAAAAATCGTAAAAACATAAAATCGTAGTGATAAATCAAGATTTTAACAACTATGCCACCACCGTAACATCCACAACCCTAAACCCAAATCAAATTGACCTTAAACCCAAACCAACTTAAGAATTAAAAAATCAAAATAAAAACAAAGATTAAATCGACCCTACCAAAAACCCCAAAACAAGAAATCAAAAATAATCAAATAAAAAATTGAATTAGAGAGTCGATTTACTTGGAATCACATTAGAAAAATGAAGTAAAATGAGAAATAACAATAGCAGTGGAGGAGAACGAAACAAAGAAGCTGCGACAATAAAGAAGAAGAGAAGAATGAAGAAGGAAGGAAAAGAATGTTAGATGAAAAAAGCAAAGGAGGAAAGAGGGGAAGAGAGAGAAAAAACTTACAAAAGAGAAGCGTCACCAAGGAACAGTAGACATATATATATATATATATATATATATATATATATATATATATATATTTTTTTTTTTTTTATATTTTTTTTTTGTAGAGAAAGAGTTGAGAGTGGCGATGAAAAAATGAAAAATAGAAAAGTGATTATCTTTTTGTACTCTAAAACCGAGAAGCAAATTTTTTTTGTTTTTTTATTCTCTAGCATAAAAATTAAATCGATTTATCCAAGAACAAAAAAAGTAAATCGATTTTATCAAAAGTTGTTTCTATATGTTTCTGTCGATGAGAGCAAAAATTAAAATTAAAATTGATTTTCGGATGATTGTAATGCATATCATATAAGTTTTGTTTCTTAAAGTTTATTATTTTATTTCCAAGCTCAGACTTTTCATAAAACATATAGGGAGCGTTGGTGCAAGAGATTTTTTTTATCGAGAAAAAATAATTTCTAAGAATATAATAGGAAAATATTTTGCCTGAGAAAGTAACAAAAAAGTATTTGGTAGCCTAATATTACCAGAAAAATTAGGTTATTTTGACTGATACTACATTTGGTTGGTTGTAAAATATTAATGAGAATGTGAATCGAATTTACCAAATTACCCATAATTTTTGAGAATATTGTATGTCGGTCATGAAACAAGAAGGCATTTTGGTCCCAAAACGTAAAAATCAGAATCAGAATTCAAGGAGAAAAAAAATACAGTATGGGAAAATTATATTTGATTGAGAATTTATTATGTTTCTTGATATCAAACATGGTCAAAAAATAAATCCAGCTCCACTTTCCCATCATTCCAAAAAAATCCTTGTACCAAACCCCTCATAGGGCCTAAGCCTAATCCCCTCATTCGAGCCTGTATTCTTGCAAAAAAATTCAAATTCAGAAAAATTATTTAAAATCTAAACATGGTTGGTGTTTAGAATGAACCTCTAGGGATAGTTATACCGTAATACATGTGCGAAAAGGATGCGGAAGCCAAATAAAAAAAATGGAATATAACAAATTTTAACATAAAAAATCCTTCAAATAATAAGAATGGATTATAATACATTTTTTACTTGACCGTTCTCTCTCTTAACAAGGATTAAAGTAAAAATAAAGTATCATTCAACCATTAAATTAAATGAAAAATATTTCTGCAGTTACTTCTAGGGATGTTAACGGATCGAGCCGAGTTGAGCTTTGCTCTTAAAAGACTAAGTCTGTGTTTAAATGTGTCGGCCTTACCAAGCCTGTTACCTGTTATGAATATAATTATCAGCCTATGGGCTGCCTTATTTACAAAAAATAAAAACCTGATTTAGCCTGTTAGAAAAGAATAAGATAACAAAAATTTATCTAAACAGAATATACAATCAACAACACTAGTAATTCCATAAATATTCATAAATTCAATGTATATCCAAATAACATAATATAGAAAAAAATATTCAAAAAGTTTGTTTAACAAATAAAATAGGGGTGAAATGGATTGAGAGGAGAGATAGGACTATTACAAATAGTATAAAAAATATAAATAAAAATAAAAATTAATATACTAGGCCAGCCTGGTTCCAACAATCAATATTCGGCATGTAGGCTCAGGCCTTCACGAACCGAGCCAAAGGCCCCTGAAAGGCCCCTGACTCCTCGTTTATCACCCCTAGTTACTGCAGATAAGTTATCTGCATTTATTCTCAAAACAATATCGTTTTGGGATTGAAATATTAAAAAATTATAATTATAAAGACTATAATAACACTGAAATAAATTAAAATTACAAAAATATCAGGATTTTTGCCCCAAAACAATGTCGTATTAAACTTACTGCAGATAATTTATCTGCAGTTACAGTAGAAAAAGTGAATCCTTAATGAGAAATATAAGAATCATGTTGCAGTGTTAATTCCTGCAACAAGAATCCGGCAACGTATCTTGAGGATACAGTGTCATATCCTGTTTTTGATTTGACTTTTTTTTTTTTAAACGTGAAACCCACACTTAATTTGTGTTTGCAGAAAAACAGTCTTGTCATGTGACATGATAAAAAGCGAACCCATCCTTAAATTAATATATTCATTCCGTAACAACTATGTGTTCTCCATCAACTCACCAGGGTTTTGTCATGCACACAAACCTTAACAAGGACTAAACACAATGTATTCTTCTGAAAAAATCCGCTACAAAAGTCAACAGAAATAAAACAAATGTATTCATATTAAAAAAAGAAGAAGAAGTAAGTTATCACGTTAAAAGGAGTTTGATAACGATATGTGAACTTTCAGTGGCCGATGACATATGTCTTGTAGGCTGTAGCTATTTCTACTATATCTTTCGGCCCTGTGTATTAAGTAACTTATATTATTTTCCACGTGAAAAATTAAAAATCAGCAACACATTATTGTCCTGCTTGGAACATCGATTAAATTGTCATTATTTAACAATTTTTTATTCAAATACCTTACAAATAGTACTTTTTATCAAATTGTCACGCGACATAATTCGCTACGATTGATAGCAAACTTCGTTTGCCAATAATTTCGTGGCATGTAGCACACTTTTGCAGGAAAAACTGACTGGACTAAGTTCGTTACCAATGGTAGCAAATTTGATACGTAATATTGTCACGTGTTAAGTAATCACAGGTGACGAAGTTCGCTACACGTCGTAACGAATTTCGATGCGTGATAGTCTGATTAAAAATACTGTTTGCATGGCATTTGAGTAAAAAGTTACCAAAAAATGGCACTTTGGTCAATTTTCCCTATGAGTTTTATTAATCTCATGTTAAAAGAGATAAATTATCTCATGTCATATAGATAAACTTGTGAGCTCCACCACTTGAAAAATAAAAATAAAAGAAAAAGGTGGCACAGTTATCGAATGGTGCGTAGGAAAGAAATTTATCACATGTAGCATAAGAGTAGATTTTTTCTTTTCCCTATTTATATGTGTCCAATAAAAACATATTTATACTGATATGTTTCCTAAAAATAGAGAAAAAAAAATTATGCTTATTCTTTGAAGGGTTTGATATTTGTCATTTTAAATGACATAAGTTATGTCATTTTAGGAAAGAGATAGACATAAAAAATGAAAATCATGGAGGAAAAGTGGGTGATTTTTTTAATTGAATTTTAAATAAAAATATTATTTTGTGTCTATCTCTCTCTTAAAATAATATAACTTTATGTCATTTAAAATGATAAATACTTTTCCCTTCTTTGAAATATATAATTTGTCTTTTTATTTTGAACGAGAGTTATATTTAATATTCAGTGTGACAATAACATCATAGATGTTTTTGTTTGGTGCATATTCCTCCAATGAGAAAAATTTTGGTGCATTGGAACCACTAAAATTCGGTGGTCTTTTTATTAAAAAAATAAATAAAAAATTAGAACTAATAAGTAAAAGGATCACCGAGTTTTGATGGTTCGGCTGCAGCAAAACTTTTCTCCTAAAGGATATATGACGCCATCGGCATAGTCATGTTGGGTCCCATGCTGAATCACCTCACGTGGCAAAGCTAAATAAAATATTGACATAGATTCTCAATCCAACGGTCCACATCTTAAGATCTTCGGCAGCCGCAAGATCGAAACCCCACCGTTTATGCCCCAACAACCACTCCCAGATTCGCAAGCGGCAAGCCGTTAAAGCCATCACTCACACCGTTAGCCAAAAGAAATTCTCAAAAAAAAAAGGTGAAAAAAGCGTGTTTATTTTGTTTGTCCGACAGAAATAAAAGCGTTGAAGGCAAAGAGAAAATTCGTAGAGACTTCGCCGAAATTTCTCAGATTCTGCACTTTTGTTGAGGATTTTTCAACTTTCTGCTTTTCTATCCACTCGCCCTGTATCGAATCCATAGCTCCAGTACACTTTCCTTTTTCTCTCTTAAAGGATTTGACGACGAAATCCGCCAGCAGAGCCCGTTTGGATGCTGAGAAAACGAAGGAAAAGAACTGGAAATTTTCCGTACCTGAATTGAGGAGGGAGATTTCGATTCGCGCTGAACTCGTTGAGGTTTTATATATGTGACGGAGAAAATAGGAGGAATAGTGGTGTGGTGGTGATACTGTGAGATTCTTTTCTTTCACTTTCTCAGCAAGCAAACAGGGCAGTTCGGTGGGAAATTAATAATGCAAACGAGGTATATGGAGAGATCGAGTAGTATAGCGAGAGAGAAGCGAGGTTTAGATTCAAGTTCCGCTGAGGAAGAGCAGCCTGAAAGGAAGAGACCTGCTTTGGCTAGGTAATTATTCAAGTTCTTCAATATTCTATCTGATGCAGTCACTTTTACTGATTTTTTTTATTTTTATTTAGAATATTTTATTTTACTGTTTATCTTTGTTTTGAGTTTGCGGGATTTGATGCTCGAATCTTTTTGGGTGGAAAACAAAAGAGAGAGAGAAAATGATGAATGGTTATATCACCTTGTTTAGGCGTACTTGGTTATCATAGTTATTAGCACTTGTGTGTTCATTTGTTAAAGCTTAATTTGGTGTCTTATATTTGCTTATGAATGCATTTATTGTTTTTCTTCATGTATTTATATCAATTTGCAGTGTAATTGTTGAAGCCCTGAAGGTGGACAGTATGCAGAAACTTTGCTCATCACTGGAGCCTATTCTACGTAGAGTTGTAAGAAATTAAGTTCATTGTGGTATTAATTCTTAAAATGGAAATATAATAATTGTGATTTTATGGTTGATTTTCTGAACTATATTACCCGAACTTATCACTTGCATTTATCACTCGCTCAATCAGCCCCTAAAATGGCATCCCCGGGCTGCAGGCCCATTATTAAAAAAAAGAAAAAAAAATTGTCCTTTAGGTCGGTAGGCCTTGCTAGATGTCACTACGGTGAGGCTTAGATAAAATTGGGTAGATAACTAGAGATCTCATATTCAAACCTTAACAAGCTGAAAAAGGTGGTCTTTTTTTATCGTTATTATTATTAATTTACTCCTTGTGTGAAAGGCTTCCTGGAATAACACATTTAATTACCTCACTCAAGTACTTTTTTATAATTGTGATAAAGCATTCTGTCCTGAGGTGTTTTTATGGCCCTAGTGTTGTCAAATAAAATTCAATGAAACAACTATGTAGATTAAGTCAATGTATATATGTATATGTATGCCACTTGCCATGAATGATGTTTGATCATGGATGTATCTTATATCTTATTCTTGCTTGCTGCTGAACAGGTTAGTGAGGAAGTGGAGCGTGCTTTAGCAAAATTAGGTCCTGCCAAGCTTGGTGGGAGGTATTTTTTTGTCACCTCAGCTTCTTAAAACAGTTCCTCATATCAGTTTGCATAACACTTGGTTTTACTATGTAAATTAAGCCTCATATGCTCCTGCAAATTTTAACACTTCATCATATAAGGATTTAATTTTGATTCACCATTAGTATAAAACCTTTTTACACTATTATCCAATTAAGTGCTAGTGCATCATTAAAATAGTTTGATGGGAGAACAACTATTTGAGAGGTCATAATCTTTCAATAACTTGGCTACACATGATTGTCTGATAGTGTAAGTGACAGTGGATCAAAATTAAACTCATCAAGTCATCATATAAATATGTTCTCCAAATCTTTCTCTTAGGCCTTGTTTTCATGGCATGATTCTCTCCTGCCAAAAACTTGTTTTTTTTTTTTTGTAAATAGAAAAAAACTTGTTTTTGCCAGAAGTTGGAGTAAGACACATGGTCAAGCTAACGGAGATCCTGTTGTAACTTAAAAGTCAAATTTAATGACCCATATTTGTTTGGTGATTTGATCATATCCTAATTTTTTTTGTATCTATAATTAGTTTTTCTAATTCTCAAAGTAAAATACAGGTCTTCTCCCAAGCGCATAGAAGGTCCTGATGGAAGCAATTTACAATTACAATTCAAGACCAGGCTATCCCTTCCCCTCTTTACTGGTGGGAAAGTGGAGGGGGAGCAGGGCACTGCCATACATATTGTATTGATTGATGCAAACACAGGCCATGTTGTCACATCTGGCCCATCATCATGTGTCAAAGTAGACATTATTGTGCTTGAAGGCGATTTCAATAATGAGGATGATGATAATTGGAGTGAAGAAGAATTTGAGAGTCATGTTGTGAAAGAACGAGAAGGAAAAAGACCTCTTCTGACTGGTGATCTGCAAGTGACACTGAAGGAGGGTGTAGGAACACTAGGTGAGCTTACATTTACAGACAACTCTAGCTGGATAAGGAGTAGGAAGTTCAGGTTGGGGCTCAAAGTTTCCTCGGGTTGTTGTGAGGGAATGCGTATTCGTGAAGCCAAAACAGAAGCTTTCACTGTTAAGGATCACCGTGGAGAATGTAAGTACACAACTTTATTATTATTGTTCTATCTTTGTTTCCAGATCCTATTGTAATGGAACTTATACTTAATTGTAGTATACAAAAAACACTACCCACCTTCCTTGAATGATGAGGTTTGGAGACTGGAGAAGATTGGCAAGGATGGGTCTTTTCACAAAAGGCTACATAAAGCAGGAATACATACTGTAGAAGATGTCGTACGACTTGTGGTCAGAGACCCACAGAGATTGAGGAATGTAAGAATCAAGACACTTTTTGTCAGGGGAAGGAGTTTTAAGTTCGGTCAAATGTTCAAATCCAATTTTTTTTTCACTTAGTTATTTGCATTTTTTATCTATCCAAGATTTTCATAGGTCAACTATCCTTATGTAGATTCTTGGGAGTGGCATGTCAAATAAAATGTGGGATGTTCTTGTTGAGCATGCCAAGACTTGCGTTCTCAGTGGAAAACTTTATGTATACTATCCTGATGATGCAAGGAATGTTGGTGTTGTTTTCAATAACATTTATGAGCTGAGTGGCTTAATCACCAATGACCAATATTACTCGGCTGATTCTCTCTCTGACAGTCAAAAGGTAAGTCAACATGTACTGTAAATTTTGTATTTGCTTGAATTTGGACTAAACTGTTGGATTTCTTCCATTGTATGCTTAATCTGTTTTCTCATTCCACGTATTGAAAATGTTGTCCGTCCTTGTGGCTAAGGAAGAGTATACGCTTAATTAGATCCTGTACTTGGCTGCAAGTCGTCTTGCTTTAATTATTCTAGTTCTTGCAGTATGAAAGTTTTTACTAGTTTTAAAATCTTGCTCAGGCATAGGGTATTCATAATGTGGTTTTTGGAAATTTTGTGAACAGACCAGATAGTTAATTTGCTTAATATAAATATACCACTTATTGTTATAGGTGTTATGAGACAAGGTGGGAAATTTTTCTCTTCCAGAAAGGGAAAATGTAAAAATTCAAAATGTTTTCTTTTAAAACTTTAATGAAAGAAAAAGGTAAAATTTCTGAATAATGTGTCTTTGTTCTTGTAGGTTTATGTGGATACATTGGTGAAGAAAGCATATGAGAATTGGATGCATGTTATCGAGTATGACGGCAAGTCTCTGCTAAATTACAATCAGAATAAGACTTTGGGCATCTCCCAACCTCAGGTTCAAATGGATTCCCATGATTATTCAAATTCAAACACACTTGATCCACAGATCTCCATCCCAACTCTACCAGTTCCTGTACCTATAGGGCAGCCTTCAATGGATCCAGGAGTAACAGTTGGAGGTATATAGTTCCGAGTAAAAGATAATTCTATTAGCAACTGGAGCCAAAGGCTTTTGCAGTTTTAGTTTACACTTTCTTTTTAACTTCCCTCCTTTATATTTTTCCTCGTTTTTCTTCTCCCTGTATTCTTTTTACTTTTTTACTTAGTCCATTATGTCTATAACCCACCACCCTCAATATTTTCTCTTCTGAACTTGACTATGTGGACACACAGATACAAAGACCCCACCGAGGGGAACATTCTTCCATTGTATTTAGATTAAGTTAGCAAATAATATTGAGAGTTTAGAGTGCTTGACATGATAATAATATGATACATTTGTTGTGTGTCACATGTTGATAACAAAAAAAGAGAATGATAGCAGCATTACATGACCAATTTAGTGAGTTGATTTCATACCACGAGTTTGCAGAAATTTTTTCTTGCGACAGATGTTTTCTTAAAAGAATGTTTCACATAATAAATCCTTATTGGTTGCTGACTACATATGAATAATATGTGTACAGGCTATCATGATGGGACAACAACCAGATTCTCAATGCAACCACAGGATGCTAATCTTAATTCTTCTATTCAGTTTGATACTACTGCATTCACTCTACAAAACCAGCTTATGAATGTTTCGCACCAATCTCAACTCCTAAGAAATGAAAATGGGCTGACTCTTGGTCCACCACAATCAGCCACTCCTGGCTTTCAGACTGTCAGTGTTTCAAATCCTACTTATAGAGGATTTGAAGACTTCTTCCCGGAAGAGGATATTCGTATTAGAAGTCATGAAGAGGATATTCGTATTAGAAGTCATGAAATGCTAGAAAATGAAGATATGCAACATCTGCTCCGTATTTTTAATATGGGAGGACAATCTCATGCTTCCTTTAGTGCACCTGAAGATGGGTACCCTTTTTCATCTGCTTACATGCCTGCGACCTCCATGAGCTACAACTTTGATGATGAACGAAACCGTTCCTCAGGAAAGGCTGTTGTGGGCTGGCTCAAGCTTAAGGCAGCTTTGAGATGGGGCATTTTTATTCGCAAGAAGGCTGCTGAGAGACGTGCACAGCTTGTTGAGCTTGATGACTCATAGAATATGAAATTGGAGCCATCTCATCTGTTATGGTCTGAGCAATAACTTTTGTGGATATAGCATCAAATGCTCCTTTCCTGGCATTCACAATGACTTTCATGCTGAAGTTTTATAGCATAAGTAGACTGGAAGTCTGGATTGAATTATTTGGTGCAGCCTTAAAGCTCCCACTCTGCCTTCATAAACAGTTGTGCGGCGACCTCTGCCTGTACAGGAATATCACCCTGCAACAACTCTTATATCTATTTTACTTGTGATGCTTTTCACTCTATATTCCTGCTGCTTGTGAAGACCTGACAGTTACTACCTCGTAACAGAAGAAGTCTGCTGCGGCTTGAAATTACTGGGGTCTCAGGTCTGGAAACTCGGGAAAACTACGGTCATTTGTTTACATTTAGCAGGACGTATTGAATTTTGTGTTCTAATGGGGTTGAACCTAACTGGTGTGTTTTGTGTAGTTGCCTTCTTGTTCAATAGTTGTAATCAATACTGAATTGCTGGATTCAGAACTGTTATTTTGTTTGTTTGTTTGTTTTATGAATGTTTCAGCAGACTGCATGCCTTGTCAGGGGCTACTAGTTTTGTAATACTATCTAAAAAGTGAGAAAAGATGTTAGACCTAACCTGTTATATCCCTGAATGGACAAACAAATGAATCACTCATTTTTAACTGAGAATTACTCATATTACAGTTCATACTGGAAGAGTTGGCTTTTGAAATGTTATTGGGGGTAGCTAGATCAGTTTGTTCTGGAGCCTACATGGTTTTGAGATGGATTAGAAAATATTGACAAAGGATGAAGTCGTTTCAATGCTATGTTTTGGTAAAAGGGGATGCAAATTTTAAGATTGAGAAAGGAAAAAAAAAGTATTTGTATAGGGGTGTCAATTTATTGTGTGGGCTCTTATAAACAAGGTGACTGGTTGACTGACCGTTTGACTTATAAACTCTGAAGGGTGAAGTTGGAATTATAACAATTAATTATATTTAACAGTTTTAAGACAAAATTATCCCTCCTCAATCCACTATTCCTTTGTTTTTCCACTGGCCACCGTCCTGTGCCCATCACCTGCCAGGGAGGTTTCTATCGATCCAACAAAGTAGTTGTATTTTTTGGAGACGGAAAACGCATAACACAATCAAAAGCATTAGGTTTGGAAATCAGCTTGGGTTATTGACACTCAAAATGCTTTAGCTTAAAATGTTTGTAAATCCGTTCATGCTTCCTCATTTTCCTTATGAGTTCAAATCCAAATGTGTTTGTTCAAAGGACTTTCACATAGTTCTTTAGACAACTCCCAAAAAATGATGGTTCAAAGGAAAAAAATAATAGTTAAAATTTAGTGTATTTTAATTTTCACGATGTTCCTTCATGACTCAAGTGATCAACGCCTTCCATTTGTACCATGTGAAACCCAAACAACGTCTTCCATTAAATACCAATTCTCATCCCATATAAGTTGATTCTGCATAATTTATCTGTTCTAGCGGCAATACTCTAAGACCTTTGAATACAATTTACTCGTGCATCTAAAGTTAAGCCATAAAGCGAGTGTATTCCTCTTGGTTGAAGAAAAAAGTGAAGTTGTTTTGTTCCTTCTTTGCTTTGCTAAATATGGTTAAGAGTGCTTGAGACCAAGCCTTTTATTTTTTAATCTATTCCTTTCCTAAGTCTCTTCCTCAATTATCATTAATGGGTATTGCTCACTAACTTTGGCTTTACCCTCCAGTTCCTTACATGAGCGCAGGGATCAACTTCGGCAAAAAAAATTAAAATAATATTTTTTAATTAAATAATTACGCAGTTATTGTAGTTTTAAAAAAAAATTACGTATCTATTGTAGCCTTTTTTGGGCGTCACATGTGACGCCCCATTGAGGCGTCTCACCCTAAGGGGAAGACGCCCAAATTGGACGTCTCTCATGAGGTATTGACACGTGTCACTTTTTTTTCAAAAAAAAAAATTAATTTAATCTTAAAACTTTTAAAGGCCATAACTTTTGACTCGAGTATCCAAATCAAGTAATTCTTTTTTTGATTCCACATAACTTTTCGAGATCTACGCAATGACATCTCATTTGATATATTTTATTTCACACCAACATAATTTAAATTTAAATCAGGTAATCCTTCTTCCTTAGATATTTAGAATATTTATTTAATTATTTTCTTTATTAATACAGATTATTCAAATTGATTTTTGAGTTTAAATCAAAAATCAAATCTTTATTTTGTTTTCCTTAATAATAATAATTGTTACTTTTAATTTAAATCACAAACCAAATTTTTTTATAATAAAAATAAAAAAATTTATTTTTTAATTTAAATCACACATCAAATCTTGATTTATTTTTTGTATTAAATCACAAACGCAGAACTCAGAGGCTTCTGAGTTTAAAAATGTGACACGTGTTGACACATGTCAAAGCCTAACACATCACCAATCACGTCTAAATTGAGTTTCAATCAAGAGGCAATCACGCCTAATTTAGGTAATTTTATTTTTGAAAAATATTCATAAGCCATCATTAATTTCAGACCCCGAATAATAACCCAGAAGCTTATAACATTAATCATTAATTTTAAAATTAATATCCTTCTTCCTTAGAAATTTAGAATATTTATTTAATTATTTCCTTTATTTCTACAGATTTTTCAAATTGATTTTTTAGTTTAAATCACAAATCAAATCTTTATTTTGTTTTCCTTATTAATAATAATTTTTATTTTTATTTTGAATTTAAATCACAAACCAAATTTTTGTTATAATAAAAAAAATAATTATAAAAAAATTTAAATCACAAATCAAAATTTTATTTATTTTTTATATTAAATCATCAATCCAGAACTCAGAGACTTCTGGGTTTAACCGCTTTATAATACCATTCTTGCAAATTAAAATTGTGTTTGTGAGAAATAAAATATGTCAAATGAGATGTCATTGCGTAGATCTCGAAAAGTTATGTGGAATAAAAAAACGAATTACCGGATTTGGATACTCGAGTCAAAAGTTATGGCCTTTAGAAGTTTTAAGATTAAATTTTTTTTTGAAAAAAAAGTGACATGTGTAAACACCTCATGAGAGACGCCCATTTAGGCGTCTTCCACTTAGGGTGAGACGCCTCAATGGGGCGTCACATATGACGCCCAAAAGAGACGTCACAGTATGCAATAGATCCGTAATTTTTCCCAAAACTGCAATAAATGCGTAATTATTTAATTAAAAAATATTATTTTAATTTTTTTGCTGATCAACTTCTATTTTCACCATAGTGGATGGAGAAGTGAGGCTTTTGTCTTAAAATTATTAAATATGACTAATGTAGTAGTTTAAGGGGTTTAATTGTTTCAATTGAAAGAGCAGGGTGATTTTTTATTTTTTTATTTTTTACAAAAACACTAATTATATGGTGGTTTTATATAATTTATCCTTTACAAAATTCAATCAAAAGAATAGTTATATTTTTTTTGATTTCTCGACGGATTAATCTGATCAAATCAGATAGAAGGTAGAATTACAAAAACGATATCAACTCATTTTGAAGATTTATAAAAAGGCCTGCGATTGTAAAGATTTTTGGGAAATAGTAGGTTCATGTTGTAAAAGACCACTATTTTATGCCATAGACATTTCAATAGTTATACTGTCATTTTCTCTTCTTCTTTTTTTGTGGTGAACTCAAATATGTTTTCTTCTACAACATGAGAATAGACAATGTAATGGATCAACTGAGTCAGCCCAATTCAACTAATCAGGAGCCCCGAAGTGTGAGAAAGAGAACCAGCCCAACCTACCTCAAGGATTATGTTATGGGCTAGAGTATAACAACCCAATAGTACATCACGTTTATTTTCAAATTCCATTACAAGCATTTCTCTTATAATGTAATCAGAGATGATATAAGTAGCCGGATGGCATAATAGAGGAAGATACAAATTCAGAAAAACTTATCTCTACCTTTTCTTCTCTATCTCTAACCTACTCATCTTCCTTCTAATTTCTATCTTGAATTTGCTCACATTACATTGGTGCTTTCATTGTTATGGCTGAGAACACTAGACTTCGTGATCTTACCAATCAGGTGCTATCTCATGACCAACAACTGAACACCCTGGAACGCACAATAGATCTGCGTTTAGAATCGTTTGAAGTAGCACAGAATCAACGATTGGATGACCAGAATCAATGCTTCGAAGGAATGAATCACCAGATTCATGATATGTACACACTGTTACAGACTCTACAAACTCAGATTACTAATCTGGGTTCATCGTCTCAATCTGGCATTCTTGGTGCTGGACCTACTCGTGCTTCTCCTATTAGTCGAACTATGAAAATTGATTTTCCTAGATTTGGATCTGGTGACCCTGAGTCCTGGCTATTTTCCATTGAAAGGTACTTTCGTTATCACCAAGTTCCTGATCAAGATAGATTAGATCTGGTTTCTTTTAATTTAGACATGCATGCATCATGTTGGTTTGAATCGCTATATAGCAACGTTCATTTTCCCGATTGGAATGCATTTGTAATAGCCCTTCATCAGTGCTTTGGCCCTTCAGAATTTGAGGATCCCTTGGGGTCACTAGCTAAGCTTCAACAATCTGGAACGGTAGTTGAATTCCAATCTGCCTTTGAACTACTAGCCCGCAGAATTCCAGATTTAACACCCATTATGCGCAAAAGCTTGTTTATATCAGGCTTGAAACCACAGATACGACGTGCAATATTAGTTCATAGGCCATTAGATGTTTCTGCTGCCTTTTCTTATGCCAAAATCTATGAAGAACAGTTCACTGAATCCCGTTTGAACAAATCGTGGATCTCTCGATCCCCTAACACATCCCACCCAATAGCAGCCCCTCCATTAACTACAATCGTTCCACCAAAACCCTTACTACACTACCCGGTATTCCCATCAAATGTTTGTCACCAGCTGAAATGTTAGCAAGAAGGGAAAAAATCTTTGTTATAACTGCGATGAACGATTCACTCCAGCTCACTGCTGTAAGGGTCGCGCTGCACTATTATACTTAGAAGGGTTTGATGATGACCCGCTAGATACAGATATGGCATCTCCACCTGATCTTGAACCACAGGAACCTGAGGCAGTACAAACAGACACGTCTCATGAGATTAGCTTTAATACTTTATTCGGCCACCAGTCAACTATTTCATTTAGAATGGAAGGCAGAATTATGGGCCAACCCGTGCAGATTTTGGTCGATGGTGGGAGTACCCATAACTTTATTACCCTGCAGATGGCTTCTCATTTACATCTGACCTTGCATGCTATTACTCCATTCAAGGTTCGGGTGGGTAATGGAGACGCCCTACTGTGCTCAGCTACATGTAAAACTATTCTAGTGGAAATCCAATCTCATCAATTACCCATTGATTTGTATGTACTGGAATTACAGGGTGCTGATATTGTTCTTGGAGTGCAATGGTTATCTACACTGGGCCTTATTGTAACAGATTATTCTGCACTAACCATGTTTTTTATTGTAAGTAATTCACAGGTTTTACTACAAGGGGATGCTACCGGTAATCCTACTTATATCAGTTCTTCTCAGTTACAAAATCTGATGTTTCATGATTCAATTTCCACTTGTTTGATGTGCTTTAAATCT